CCTGCGTGGCGCGAGGCCGAGCTGGCACCGGCTCTTGGGCAGAAGGTCGGAGCGGCCGGCGAGGCCCCGTGGACGATGGATCAGGGGAACAGCCACAAAGTCCCCGTTTCTTGCATTTCACGATGGCCCGAAGCAGGCACTCGTGAGATGCCTTCATCCTGTGCAGGCGACAGCAAGGACTTGAGGCCTAGTTGCCTGGGACACGGCGGGTCTTAGTCCACGTTGTCAGCAGAACCAGCAAAGTAGCTGGGGGGCGGTTAGCCAAGGAGTAGAGCGCGGCGGCGGCAGGGTCCCGAGGCCAGGCCCAGGCCCCGCACAGCGGAGGCAAGGACCAGGCTGTGGCCTTGTCCTGAGGGAAGGTGAGTGCAATCTGCTGTGGTTATTGCTTCTCAACGTCATTCTCCTTATGCACACACGGAAGTGAATCCCCACTCAGGAGGCTGAGGCAGGAGGATCACCAGGAGTTCGAGGCCAGCCTGGGCGAGCTGCATAGCAAGACCTTGTCTCCAAAAATATTAAAAAATAGGTAGATAGAGAGATAACTGCTGTATGACAGGGTATTAAAGGAACCCACTTTCAGCTACAGGCCACCAGCCCTGGAGCTCTGGCCATCCCAAGTCCCTGCACTGCAGTATCCCAGACAACATACGGATTAATACAGGGACAGATTCCAGGAGAGAGAGCTGGTACTGCAGGTGGAGGGGTGAAGGACAAGGACGGAAGCCCTGGTTTCAGGATTGAGCACTGCACGAACTATTTCCCTCACTGCTGCGGGGAGCACGGGACGTGGCTGGCCCTGCAGCAGAAGAACCAGGGACTCTGTCTCAAAACAAAAGCCACGAGAGAGGTGTCACAGTGTCATGGCTTGGGGCGAGGGGTACATACACCAGGCCACTGCTCCACTGGAACACGCAGCGGCTGGGATCCTGCCAGGGTCATAAACTCTCAGCTTCAGTAACGAATCAGAGGCTGAGTTTAAAATAAAAGAAGACAGTTTATTTGGGAAAAGATAGGGGAGAAAAGGAAGACAGCTACTTTGGAAGAGTAGGGGGTGTCAGAAGTGAGCCTCCGAGGATGTTTGTCCTCGGCTCCTTTTTATTCAGGACTAGTGATTTCTCCCATCCCCTATAGGGGCACCTGGGAGTCGCTGGCTGTCATGGGATGGGCTTTCTGGCTGTCTTTGATTCTAACCTGAACACCCTTATCTACATTCCTTCTTTGTGATGGATAAGTGGGAAGGGCCTTATAGAAAGATAACTTAGAGTTAATGATTAAGTGAAGGGGATATTTTTTTATATATTAAATAAGAATCCTTAAGGGCTGGTCTTTATCTCCTTTGCATTTTATGGGGTGGGGGTCCTGGCTACATCCCTGTTGCCTGTTAACTGTTCTCCTCAATTCTTACCTTGCATTACCTGGCCTTCCTGGGCCTGGTTTCTCTCTCTTCACTTTTGTCTTGTCCCCCCCACCCCACCCCCACCTAGAATCAAACGCAGGACCTGGTGCTTGTGAGGCAGGTGCATTGCCACTGACCTAAATCCCCAGCCCACCTTTGTCTTTCTAATTGCTGGAGTCTAACTGCAGAGGCAAAAGCTGCCTTTGGTAAGGTTTCCTATTAATTTCTTTAATCAAGCTTGATGAGATCCTGATGACTCACAGCACAGGAACACGAGACCCCCTGAGCAGGCTTGTGTGACAGCAACCTGACACAAAGTTTATTTCTGCCTGGGTGCAGGTAGACAGAAAGCGAACATGTGGTTGGCCCCAAAGCAAAGAAAGGCAGAGGGTTTTGTAGGGTCTGTAAAGCGTCTTAAAGTCAATAGAGGGGTCAGGCAGCCAGAGTTCCCAGGACGACCAGAGCAGATGTATGGGTGTTATCAGACTCTGGCGCCAAGAGGATCTCGTGTCCTGTTGTAACTCTTCTTTACAACCCCCTGTTCTTTAGTATCTGCTGGGAAAGTTGAGCCAGGCTAAGCCTGACAATCCTATTTTATCCTTTTTCCTGTGACCCCCTGTCCCTACAATGGGAAGAAGAACAATAAAAAAGAGGTGCACAACCAGGTACAGTGAGTGGCACACACCTCTAGTCCCAGGAAGCACTCGACTGCAAGTTCAGGGCCAGCCTGGGCAACTTAGTAAGACACTGTCTGAAATTAAAAATAAAAAGGGCTGGGGGTGTCACTCAGTGTCAGAGTTCCCCAGTACGAACAACAGGAGTGTGTGTGCACATCACAACTACCAGATACCGCTTCGCACCCACGAGAACGGCAGTGGCGAGAATCAAAAAGCCAGACACCAGCCAGATGCGGTGGTGCACACATGTAACCCCAGCACCCTGGGAAGCTGAGGCAGGAGGATCGGGAGTTTGAGTACACTTCTGGGAATTCAGCAACTTAGTGAGATCCTGTCTCAATATAAAAAGTAAAAAAGGCTAAGGACATAGCTCAGTGTAAAGGCCCTGGGTTCAATCCCCAGTACTGAATAAAATAAAAGCCTGATGACAACAACATTGGGATGTTGAGAAATCAAAACCCTCATACACTTATTTTTAAACCCCATACGCTTTGGTGAGATGATGTAGCCTCAGGCACTTAGGAAAATAATTTGGCATTTCCTCAAGGGTTGAGCACAGGATTGCCATCTTGACCTCCACGGCTAGGTGTCTACCAAGAAAAACAAAAACATCCACACAGAAACTTGTGTAGGTGTTTTTTTTGTACCGGAGATTAAACTCAGAACCTTGCACTTGCAAGGCAGGCAGCAGCACCACTGAGCTAAATCCCTGGCCCTTATAGAAGGTTTTTAACAGTATTACTTATAGTAGTCAAAAAATAGAAACAACTCCAGTGTTCAATTGCAGATGAACAGATACACAAAATGTAGCACTATATTTATCACACACGCTGGAATTATTAGCATACACTAGCTGGGGATTTAGCTCAGTGGTACCACCACCTGGCCTGCCTCACAAGCACAAGGTCCAGAGTTCTGTCTGGTACCAAAACAAACAAAACATACACCAGAATGTTATCTGGCCATAAAAAAAGAAATACTGATGCATGCTACAGTATGAATGAACCTTCAAAAAAACCGAACGGGGCCAGGGATTTAGCTCAGTGGTTCCGGTGTCTGCTTTGCAAGCGCAAGGACCTGAGTTCGAACCCCAGTACAAAAAAAAAAAAAAAGCAAAAAATTGTGTTAATTGAAAAAATAAGCCACAAAAATCTATATACTTTCTGGGCATGATGGCATACACCTGTAATCTCAGCACTCAGGAGGCTGAGGCAGGAGGATCATCACCAGTTTGAGGCCAGCCGGGGCTACATAGCAAGTTCAAAACCAGCCTGGACTACATAGACCCTGTCTCTATGAAGAAAAAGAAAGCGGGGGTGGGGGAGGCTAAGCAGCAGGAAAATGGGAGACAGCCTTCGTTTGACCTTCCAAATGGCCTCCACAAAACATCTACCTCTTCGTTCTTTGTTTCTGCTCTTGCCTCCTATCTACAGTCACTTCTGCTTGATGTGTATCCTTCAGGATTTTCTTCTATTTTTATTAGTGCACATTTGCAGTACCTAATGATTACATTTAGAATTTTCCAAAGGTCCAATTGTGATGATCTTTCAGTTTTGTTACCAGGGATCAAACTCAGGACCTTGCGCTTGCAAGGCAGGCGATGGCAGCACTGAGCTACATCCCCAGCTTGCCTTCAATCTTGAAGCATGTTTTTCCTGTGGCTTAGAAGATAGACTGGTAGCGATCTTCTTTTACCATATGAATATTCTTGTCCTCATAGGCCTATTGCCTGAAACCACTGAAACTATCAGGTCTTTCTTCAGGATTCAGGAAGGATTCAGGCCAGAAAGAAGAGTTTGAAGGCCAGGTATGGTGGTGCATGCCTATAACCTCTGCACTCAGGCAGGAGGATCACTTGAGTTCAAGGCCAGCCTGGGTTACACAGCAAGACCTTGTCTCAAAAAAATAAATTAAAAAAATTAAAAATTTTTTGATAGAGGGAAATCCTGAGGTACATTGGAAAATGGGCTGGACTTGGCTGCCTGGAAAGACTGAATACCCAGAAAGGCTGACACCCCTGAGAAAATCCTGCCAGGTAAAATCCACCCTAGGAACTCAGTCAGGTTCGGTAGGACAGCACTGTGGCCATGAGAATCTCCTCTGTGTCTCCACAGACACAGAGCCAGGCAGGATACCAGGGAGCTCTGGAGGGAAACCTGCATCTTCCCAACTGTGTTTACCAGGAGAAAACAGTCAGCTGAGCAAGGAGACACGCATGCCTGTGATCCCACATCTCGGGAGGCTAAGCCAGGAGAGTTGCAAATTCAAAGCCAGCCTGGGTAATTTAGCGAGACCCTGTCTCAAAATAAAAATTTATTTTTAAAAAATTTTGGTGTTTTGGGCCAGGGATTTAGCTCAGTGGTTCGGTGGCCTGCCTCGCAAGCGCAAGGACCCGAGTTCGATCCCCGGTACAAAAAAAAAAAAAAATTTGGTGTTTTGAGACAGGGTCTTGGTATGTAGTTCAGGTTAGCTTTGAACTCACTATGTAGCTAGGCTGGCCTCGAACTTGTGACAATCACCTTGCCTCAGCCTCCCAAGTGCTGGGATTACAGGTGTGCACCCCCATGCATGGCTTAAAATAAAAATGTAAAAGAGCTGCAGAGGTAGCTCATGGTGAAAGCCCTGTTCAGTCCCCAGAACCTGAAGGAAGGAAGGAAGGAAATACTAATGGTCGGACTGCCCTCATGGAAACAAAGCTCAATTTTACTGTTGCAAGGCTAAAACACTGAGTTGGAGCAGCCTGGCCAATGGCACAGGCTTAGATAGGGGGAGT